TACGAGCAGAACTGCATATTATGAGAATTCTGAGATATAAACAGAATTCGGGTTTTTTTCTTGTGATTGCAAGTTTACATCTCGCAATTCTGTTTTTTGTTTCCACCACGGTAAAAAAAAATTATAATAATACAAATAAATAAAGGTAGTTGTGACTTTTTATCTCACAATTCTAATTTTTTTTTTTCTTGCAGTTGCAACTTTATATCTTGCAATTTGATTTATATCTTTATATATGCATATCATAATTGCGAGATATAGTAGAGATATAGAAGTCCAAAATGTAAGATATAAACTCAGAATTGTGAAAAAAAGTAAGAGATTAAAAAATATATAAAAAATTGCAACCAAAATACAGAATTGTGAGATGTAAACTTAGAACTCTGAGAAGAAAAAAAGTCAGGATTCTGAATTTGTATCTCGCAATTCGATCTGAGTTGTAAGATTGTAAAAAACTGTAAAATTGTAAAAAAACAAACAAAAAAAACACTCGCAATTACCTTTTTTTAATTATTGTTCTTATTATTCCCTTGTCACAAACAAGAGTCCTTAGTTTTCTCATTATTTGAATGATTTTTTTCCCCCACACACGGATCTATTGTGCTGTAATTTATTTCAAATGAACCTGCCTCCAATTGCACATCCAAAACAAACTGCAGTGGTTGCTGTAAATGTCAGTCAGACAGTGTCCTGTCCGGAATAACCTGCAAAGTGAACCAGACCTTACGATGATATTCAAAAGTCAGACTAATTTCTCAAATTTAGGATTAGTGTTTCTTGAAAGTCCCTCTCATCTATAATAACAGTGATGCTGGCCTTAGAAAACACCACCAATAATGACTAGTGCGTTTCAAGATTCACATGTCACTGGCCTTCACTTTGTTTAAATCTCGTGGAGCACAGAAGGTCATCGAGCAGTGTGTTGTGAGTGAACTCAAGGTTTACATTTGCATGAATCACTCTCAGATCAACGCAGCGGCGGGGCGCCAGTCTCTCGTAGAGATGACATATGATGGAGTGTTTATTTCTGGGTCAGTGGGGTGCGATGAGAATGCTTTCTAAGAACGAGAGTGTGAGCGAAGGCCTGAACAGCGGCTCTTGATTGGTTCGGTTTGACAGATGCTCACCGGGTATAAGGACATTGTGACAGGCTGCCTGCGACCGGAGAGAGCTACACCGACCGAATATACAGCCAAAATAACACAGAGAGAGAGCAGAGTCATGTTTTATTTATGAGCTTGCTACCTGAGCTAGACTTTCATACACAAAACTTTCTATACAGAAAAAAACTGTCATATATTCACTGCGATAAAACACCGTAAATGTCAAGCTTACTGTAACTCTTGAGTCTTCCCATGATTTGTAGACCAAGTTAGAGAAAAATAATCAAATATACACACTAGAGAAAATGAACTGTGCTTATTGTATTAAATGAATGTGCACTTGTAGTCTACTTCATCCTAATATCATATCTTAAAAGTACATTAATGGTCAAAATTTTAGAATAATTAAGATTTCTAATGTTTTTGAAAGAAGCCTCTTCTTCTCACTAATGCTGCATTTAATACAGTAAAAACAGTAATGTTGTGAAATATTATTGAAATGTAAAATAGCTGTTTTCTATGTGAATATCTGTTCAAATGTAATTTATTCCTGTGATCAAAGCTGAATTTTCAGCATCATTACTCCAGTCGTCACACCAAGAAATTAGTTACTTTAAAATGTAAAAAGAACAGCATTTATTTGCAATAGAAATGTTGCATAAAAGTGTATATTTTTCTTACCCCAGACTTTTGAATGGGAATGTTCATGATTTCCACAAAAGCAACAAATCAGCAATAAACAAACAAATAAATAACTGTTCAACTAATTGCTTTTAATATAAATTTAAACTGTACTAATTTTATTAATTAAATGTCCAAAAACATTACATTCAATTCACAAGTATATTTTTAAAGTACATTATTTTACAATAAACCCTTTATAAAAGTGTGCTAAGTGTATTTCTTTTTATAAGCGTATCCAGATCCACATCACAACACATGAGAATTTCACAGACTGCAAACTTTACAGTAAAAATAATGCTTTAGACAACACACTACGAACAGTCGTGAAACAGCAAACATCTGAACGCTGATGTAGTTCCATTCGAGAGGATATTCACACTTAATGCAGTGTCTGAATATGACGAACATCAGCTGAATTTTTAGGGCATCTCACTTAGTGTTGAACTTGTGAATCTGTAATTCTGTCATTCATTAGTAACTGTGTCTAACGAGATGAACAGAGCCATGAAGAAAGACTGAAGGCCAAGCGATCGAAGAGGTTTGCTCTTTCAGAAACTGCTCAGGTGAGCTGATCCGTAAGAAAACATGTGACCCCCAAGAAATCAATGCGTTCAACAAATATTAATTTAGTGATTCATTTTTTTTTTTTGTGGTGTTGCTACACGTAGAATCTACTTAAAATAATATTATCTAAAAATATTAGATAAAAAAATATTTAAAAAAAATTATCTAAAAATCCCAAACAATTTATTTATAATTTATGTGATGGAGCATGAAAATAAAATAAAATACATTAAAATAGATTCTGATTCTATAAACAGTCATAAATAATTGGTGCTGACTGGTATAGGAACACAGATTGGAAATATTATAAAAAGTGTTCTTTTTAAATTAATTACTTTCCTTCTAGTAAAGGGTATAATGTTTCTTTTAAATGTATACATTTTTATTAAGCTATTATATATTTGAATCTATATGAATTATTGAGTTGGTTTTAGGGGAGTGAAACACAATATAATGTCATAATTTTGACAAAATGAAGAAAAAATCAAATCAAAATGAAGAAATTTCAAGTTCTCAGATTCCTTTCCACTTAATTTAAGAGCAAATGATACGTTTAATGAAAACAAATATCAGCTGAAGTTGTGTGATTTAGTCTCATGTCTCAACGATCAGTGTGTGTGTGAGAGAGTTATTTATGAAAAGACATTCTGCAAGGCTTTCTGCAGCATCTGTGTGTGTTTAGTCGTCTGCTGAGCACCACAGATAGATCATATCTGTCTTCATCTGAGAGACTAATTCTAGATTAATGGATGAGAACGAGAGACGAGGAACTATTCCCTGGAAAGACAGATGTGTGTGTGATTAGAGCAACACACTGTCATATCTGCCTAATGAATCATTTTTATTCAGTGTCTATGTGCTTCTAAACTCAGTAAGGACGCAAAAGATAGGCTATAAGCATTTGTGTCAAAAACTATTATTCTGTTAAATCTATTCAGAAATGCATGTACAAGTTTGGAACTCAGATTCTGAAAACCTTACCAAATAATGAGTTTGTAACAAGTTTTATTTGTACTTCTTGCGTTTCTTTATTTATTATGAATCACTTTTATTCAGTGTATATGTGCTTCTGAAACTCAATAAGGTCGCAAGACAAACATTTGTGTCATAAAATATTATTAAATTAAATCTATGCAGAAATGTATTGTAAATATATATATATAGTTGTAAATAATTTCTGTGATGGAGCAAGAAAAATAAATAACCGTTTGTGTGGTGGTGTTGGGAAAAATAATAAAAACTATAATAAATTATATCATATAATAATAAAAAATAGCACTCCTGGGATGAAGACTGACTTTGATATTTGCTGATTCTATAAATGTTTTCTTAAATATTTCATGTTGACCAAAGTATGGACACTTCTTAAGTTTATATATTGAAATCTATATGGTTTTATGGGAGCGAAACACGATATAATGTAAAGTCTTTGCTAAAATAAAGAAAAGATCGAATCGAAATGAAGAAATGTCAAGTTTTTGAAGCAGCACATGTTTTATTCTCACTGTTGCAGAAACATTTCAAGTCAGATGCACTGAAAGCAAATTACATCAATTATTATGAACCACTGAATAAATGACAATTCTCTTTCTAACACCCTGTAGATTATTGCTTGCAAAGTTTCTAAGACTAATCAGAAAACAGACTCAGATTTGCACTAATAAACCAGATCACAGTTGAGGATTCAGTGCAGTTGAGAGTCATTGTTTGAATAACTCATCTTCATTTGAAACTGTTGTATGTAACTCAGTGAACTCAAAGTCTTGTGTTGTAAGAAAACAGATCAAGCTGCTTATCTGCTGCAACACAGACTTTAAAACCAGCTCTAATGAGTTTGACGACCTTATAACACTTATAAAGTCACTAATTACTCACCCAGTAAGATGAAGTGTCCTTCAGGTAGAAGACACGTGTTCTGCGATATGATTATTGCTCATTTTATTATTGGTTATTGGTCTATTTGGTATTTGTGAACTGTAAAAAAGTGATTACAATTTTTAGTCACTACATAATTCCCATACCTCCATTAATGCAATTAATATATTGCAATTTATTTATTTATTTTTGAAAATAGGTGTTTCCTGACATTTGACTGCTCGTGTAAATGCAAAAATACTTATGTTTAAAAACAAATCATGTTCACGTAAACATTTAGTAGAGAAGAAATATGAAATGTGGAGATTCTACACTAGAGCTACAGCGTAAATATATGAACTTAATAACAATTACACAAACTACTACAAAGCTAAACAATGTGTATATTGAATTTGTTTTAGTCTTAACTGATTAACTAGTACATTTTCTGCGAATCTACTGTAAATTAGTTGCGCATTGGTCGGTTTCAGCCACCAGATGGCGCAAGTGTCCATGTCAAACCCACTGAGGCGTCTACAAATACTGCCTGATGGGTTTTCCACGGTTGCCTTACATTGTTATAAACAGTAATAATAAGTGTAAATCATAATATCAATTATAAATGTATTTATTCAGAGTTCGAGGTCTACTGACATTCACGGTACCGTAGAATCAGTTTTCTTTAAAGGGCTTGAGTTTATTTTTCGAGTTTATTTTACATTATAAGTAACTATGTTAGACAACACGTGGGTCTTAGTAAGCGAAGCCGGGCTGATTTTCAGTCAGGCGCGCGCGGGTCAGGCTCGTGGGGTCTTATGTAAGAGGCGAGCTCCAGCGGCGGAGCGTCATTCGGCGGCGGTCTCGAGATGACTGGAGAGGGTTTAGTCTCATTTAACATGATATTTAATGTCACATCATGAGTTAATGTTGAGATAAAGTTTGATTTTAATCGTAATCATCGACTCAGGAAGCGGAAGAGCGCGGAATATCGACCCGTGATCTGTTATTGATCGTCATGCCGCCCATCGAGAATGACGCGGGACGCGAGCAGATCCGATCGAAGATCGAAGAGCTGATCGATTCTCATCAAGTGCTGGTGTTCAGCAAGAGCTTCTGTCCCTACTGCGTCAAGGTGAGCGCGGACAGAAGAAACACGAGAAGTGTGAGTGTGTGAGTGAGTGAGTGAGTGTGTGAGTGAGTGTGTGATTGTGTGATTGTGTGAGTGAGTGAGTGAGTGAGTGTGAGTGAGTGTGTGATTGTGTGATTGTGTGAGTGAGTGAGTGAGTGAGTGAGTGAGTGAGTGAGTGAGTGAGTGAGTGAGTGAGTGAGTGAGTGAGTGTGTGTCTGTGTGAGTGTGTGAGTGAGTGTGTGTGAGTGTGTGAGTGTGTGAGTGTGAGTGTGAGTGCGTGTGTGAGTGTGCGTGAGTGAGTGAGTGAGTGAGTGAGTGTGTGTCTGTGTGAGTGTGTGAGTGAGTGTGTGTGAGTGTGTGAGTGTGTGAGTGTGAGTGTGAGTGCGTGTGTGAGTGTGCGTGAGTGAGTGAGTGAGTGAGTGAGTGTGTGTCTGTGTGAGTGTGTGAGTGAGTGTGTGTGAGTGTGTGAGTGTGAGTGAGTGTGTGAGTGTGAGTGTGAGTGCGTGTGTGAGTGTGCGTGAGTGAGTGAGTGAGTGTGAGTGAGTGAGTGAGTGTGCGTGAGTGCGT